GACAGGGCCGAGGAGGATGTACGATGCGCTTGGCATTTCGCAATTTCCTTCCGCGCGGAAGGAAGAGGGACGGCGCCGAGCGGGGGTCGTAGAGGAAGGGACGGAAACGCGCGTATCGTTTCGGCGGTGCTGGTGGCGAAACAAAATTTTAGAATGGCTTTCTCGGTAATTAGTTCCGCGAGACAAACACTCGCCCGAACCCCTGCGAAGACCCACGCCATCGGGGGGGTAAATTAGATGCGATATAAAGCTGGCGAATTCTCCCGGGCCGGGCGGGCGGGCGCACGCTGGAAATTGCAAATCAGACGCGGATGCAGCGCGGGATAGACGCGGGATAAGACAGAAATAAATACTCTCCGCGGACAATAAGAGATTAGGACGAGCAGCGGTCCACGAGATCCTCGTGGCGTGACGTTATATTTAATTCATGTACCTCGTTACACGAAAACGCGGAGATACTACCACGGATCGCGCCGTAATTCGTATTTACGGCGTCGAGCTACTGGCCCTTCGAGGGAGGTGCGATCGATCGGAGCACACGGAGAAGAAAAGCGGAGAATGTCGGTGACTCGGTCGTTTCCGCCGATATATCGACTGCTGTCGTGCCCTTTCCATTAATTTTACTAGGGTAGATTTGATAGCCGGTATGAATCATTGTAGCAATACCCCTGATAATTATTCCCAGTGGACTCTGTTACGTTAAACGAGAATCAGTAGATTTTTTTTGTAACTTGGCGCATTTATTTAACACACAACTGCAAATCCTTAAGACGTCTTTTTAATTGAAATTTGTCTAAGCTATTACAGCCTAAAGCCCCCGGCAAATTAAATCCAACTTCCAATTGGACTCTCGATGCGAACTGCTTTATGAAGAAAAATAGACGAAACTTCGTCATTTCCCAAATGAGTACGGGCTAAGGGGATCGTCAAAGCGGCGGCGGTGTCCATTTTGAAATTGGGCACTAGGGGGTCGTATACGATAGCGAACTCCCGTAATTCCGAACCTGACAATAACACTCGTTTCTGGGGATGCAATAACACAAATTATCACTCGCTGAAACACAGCCGAGTCGGTTGCCTATTATTTGTGGGCCACGAGATGAGACCTGGAATATCATAAATTGTCTTGGGGAAATGTATCAAATCCACTTTCGTCTATCCAATACTTACTTCGCTGTTTATATATTAAAAGCACATAGTAAATAATGAAAAGCTGCACACGCGGACGTAAGTTTCCGACAAATGGTCTCTTTTAATTTCGTTCTACTGATTTAATTTTTTATGTTGCATTTTGTTAATGTTGTAGTTTATTTTATTTGAGTTTATTTGTGACTGCCGAGAGGGAAACCGCTGAGGGCATTTTTTGGGCACTAATTTGAGCATTAGGCCTTGCTGGGACATTATAAAGATAAAATAAGGTAAAACAAGATAAATAAGATAAAAAATTAATAAGATAAAGTAATGCCCACTGGGCATTAGCGGGCATGGGTGTACAAGATTTTGATCAGCGGTTTCCCCCTCGGTGACTACGGTATCTTAGATCTTTTTAATTGGGGGATGATATTTCTGTAGTTGACTATATCCCCCAATTTACACGGTTTGATTCCATTCTGTGGAATATGGCTCAATTCATTCGCGACTTTATCGCATCCACTCAACCACGGCTGCTTTATTCCCTCTTTCGTCAGCGTCGAAAGTGTTTATTCGCGGAAGTTCGCCAGTACGAATGAAACCGTAGAACGAGCGAGTAATATCTCTCCGCGGTTCGTTGCGAGTCCCGTTTCCACTGTATGTTACGCTCACTCGGAGTTTATTAACGCAGGCTAATGATCGAACAGATCGAATTACGCGAGCCTCTCGATTACAAATCGCACGATACAGAAATAATCTGATAACAAAAAAAGCAGTCTGGGTTATTCAAGTGAGAGTTATCGAAGTGAAACGCAAGAGGCCATGCGGGAAGGGTGGAAGGCAGTAAAGCCCATAATACTTGTAACAATTTGCATATTAACGAAACAGAATGTACTTTCCGAGCAACCAACGAATGGCATCTCCGGCAATTCTCATGCATTTTAAAGAGTCGCTTACTTACCAAGTTTATGAGAAACTTAAAAAAAAAGTCAATACATTTCCACGATACGACGAAACAGCAATCATACTCCGGCTAGCGGTGACAAAGTTTCGCGGCTGTTACCGTCTTAAATCTCTACCGAGTTGAAAATCACTGACAAAGGTTTCCGCACGTTGCTCCACGCGGAACGCGGAAAGAAAGAATGGAAAAACGACTATAGATCTCCCTTATGAGTTCTGCTGTCGCGGTACATAAATCAGGAGCGTCGACTCGCGACCCCGCAAGAATTTATCGAGTCTAAACGCCCACGTAATGCAAACCCCTCGCTGCTTTCGTCGTCGGCGACATGAATATACTAGAATAATAAAACATCCAGTTGTTTTTTTCAACGCCGCACACGGCGCATCCCACGGCGCGGATTCTTAATCCGCTAATCCGTTGATTGGATTCGCGATGGAAAACAGCGAGCACGTCTCGATTTGTCGGACAAGCAACAAAGGTTTCCCTCGAAGTGCAATACCGACAACAAGGGCCAGTTTCACAAACATCGGTTAACTGTTGACCAGAGTTCAGTCGACTCCCTATCTTTTTCCATCTTATTATTTCAGAAGAGACAGAGGATCAGTTATCCTTCGGTTAGCAGTTTATTGAAACCGGCCCTAACTTGTCCACACGCGTGTGTTTGATGCTCGACATTTATAAAGCGCGGCGTAAAATATTCGTGGGAAGGGTTTTTTTGTTTTTCGCTAAATGTTAATAAAAAAACGTTTCGTAAGCGACTGCGTTTAGCGTCGAACGCGTCGAACGCGACGCTAAACCGGGTGTGAATGCGGAGCAATGAAACAAACGAAATAGTTTAACCGTTTCGTTACGTGCTATCGTCGTGCATCGCGCTAAATGTGAAAGCGTATTCAATCGAGAGCGCGAGCAGAAATTGAAGTGGCGAACGTTTAATCGCTCGCTCGCGGTGGAGCACGCGAATTTATTCAGATTGGAGCATTGCTATGCAAAAATAGTTCTAGATCGCATAATCAAACTTAAACTCCGCAACAATATTACGAACTACCGGTGTTTGCTCTTATCTAGACAAACTTATATAGACGATTCATCTCCGGATAAAATTTTGGCATTATCTGATCTTAATGTAGATAATAAAGTATATTTATCTTCATCTGCATCTTGGATAAAATATCATCTCTACTAAATTATGTAGGGAGGTCCAGGTTCAAATCCAGGCTGAGGTAATATTTTTCGCAATAAATTTTCGGTATTAGAGATGCCAGGTGTGGTCAAGAAAACATTGACGATATTATCTAGAAGTCGAAATGGCGAACACTCGTCACGGAACACAGTCGCGCGATCGGAAATAAATTCTCTAGGAACAAAAGGAGTCGGCGCTATAATTAATAAACGTATTAAATGTCACTGCGTCCGAATAATTAATCAAAACTCTTTCGTGAAGCGGCAGACCCTTCGGACCTTTCGTGAGCGTTTTACACGTTCGCCGGATTATTTGTCACCGCGCGTTGCCGTGCACGACGATCGTATCGCGCCGGATATTTTAGAACCGGAAGGGTCACGTACGAAATGAAAAGTCGACATTTTTTTTCCGCATCGGGTGTCCGGCGCGCGCGCGCGCACGCGAGGAGGGTTGATTTCTAATGCCGTGACGCGGTAAAGGGCGCGCGATAGATCTCCCTTTACGGCAGCGCCAGCGTCACAGTGCATAAATCAATGGTAACGCGGTTGAACACGGCGTGGATTTATCGAGCGCGTCTTTCCCCGTGCGTAATGATAAATTATGACGATCGAATGACGGCGGGTCCCGAGGCGACAAGAGGGGTGACGATACGCCGCGTGTGTGCACAGGGTGACGTGTAATATGGGGTGCCGTTTTCGGGGAGAGTATCGGCGAGTCAGCGGCGCGCACGCTATTATTATATGCTCGTCGTTTGCTCGCCGGCCGCCAATACGGACTTTCCATGTAATGGCGTCATCCCCGGGGCGGGTAACGAGGCTCTCCCATGCATACGGTGCTGCGTAAACATAAGCTCGCGAGGACAGTGCCTCTATGATAACGCAGCTTCCTCCGTAGCGAGCGTTGATACGTCCGCTAGTTTCGAGCGCCCCGGAGTTGAGCGAACCAAAATGGATTTGCGGAAGTTCACTTTGTTTCTAACTTTGTCTCGCAACGTCGGGTGTCGTCGTCCACTTTCCTAACTCTTCTAAAGTTAAAGTTAAACGGGGTAACGCACGACGTAAAGATTTTACGTTAATTATCGGCGACATTTCTTCGCATTGATAAAGAATTTGCGTCTTTCTATTTGTAATCTTTTAACTGCGCGACAATGTACATTTAACTAGAATAGAATAGTAGAATCTTTATTTGTTAAACGCTCCGGGACAAGTTCCCTAAAGCATCAGGCAAGCTGCACAGAAAAATAATTACGAGTTAGAGTGAGCTTTTATACAGCGAAGAGATGCTGTTGAATTAAAGAAAAATGAAGTTGCTTGAATTAAACGTTAACGTCACGGGCTGCCACGAACATACATAATTCACTCAAGTGTATTTGCTATGGATTTTAATTTTAAACATTGAACTAAATATTTAGATTAAAGACAACTATCTGATGTTTTTCATTCATATGGTTGATACAACTTCGTGTTTTCCGTGTATAATAAAAAATTTAAATATAAGAAGAGGGATAGTACATAGAAAGATGTTGCAGATTACAATTGACTAATTACCGCACCCACCTAGAATACGAAACACTAATTAGGTCACACGCGGAGAGAATTTGTTTTTCAAATTTATCCTGAAATTTATGTAATCGTGGAATAACACGACATTTCAAGGAATTTTATGAGAGTGTTTTGAAATGTATGGTAAAATTTCAAAAATTCTCGTAAAATTCTTCAAAATGCCACGTTGTCTCACGATCGCGCGATTTTCGGGATCAATTTTAAGAGAAAATTCTCTCTACGTAAGATCAGAGTGCGCGAGTATGTACAAGTGTCCCGACGAATCGTAGATTTAAGAGAGCATCGCCTAACGCTCGAAAGATAACTGATTGTAAGTTCACCCTGCTGATATTTAACAGAACTCCTACTGCAATTGCAGGTAGCTATGCAGTTAGAGCGAGAGAGAGGGGGGGGGGGGAGTGACTCGGTAATCGTAACACATAAATTAACGTTGCTGTGAGCGTGGGTGGCACGACAGTTTATCTATAGTATGCAACGTTGTTTTAGCACTAGTTACCGGCGAGAGACTGACTTTTGCGCGGCATCAGATGCGAGTTAATTACATTAATTAGCACATTGACATGTACCTTACAACTTTACCATTATACTCGTCCCCGACAGCGTGAAAACCGCACTTGTATTATGCATTTGTCGAGCGCTGCCGGTGAATTAGTGGTCTTACATTAATGCACTAATCACGAAAGGTTAATGAGATTACACGTAAAGCTACATCGCGCCGTTGCGTAAACCGTGTAGCTTTCAAAGCAACAAAGGGTGGGAAAGCCGCTTAAGACGACAGGCCGACCGATTCGCGCAAGCGCAGACAGTCGTCTCGCCCGCAAGGAGTTTAGACTCCTCCTTTTTTTCCTTTTGTTATCTCATCGTTAGCTCTTTTCGCGTTAAACGCACGCTAATCCGCCACATATTTTAAGCTTTAATACAATAGTTTCGTCGCGACGAAATTCAATATCCGATCGACTGACGGGGGGGGTATCGAGTCGAAAAGTTTCGACATGGGACCGAACGTCGAGGAGCGTCGAGCGGTTCAATAATCGTTTCCGATAGGTTTTTTTGTTTTTCATGAGAACGTTTCGTTTAATCTGTCAATTTCAGATACGTCCACGGCAAACACACGCTCGGTGAAGAACCACTCGCGAAAATGAGCGCGGCCGTAGAAAACGGCGTGGACCCCTCGAAGCCGCGCGGCGGCGTTTTCTCGAGGGCGTTCGCCAAGCGTGCGCAGCCCTACGAGGAAGGTGAGTCCGACGACAGCTTCTGGTCACTCTCGGGCAGGTTGTGGTGTTACACTCTGGGACTCCCACCCCCTTCCCCCCCCTCCCCTTTTCCCTCTGGTGCTTGGGAAGATAAACATCGCGCTGGGTTTCCAAGTCTGGTGCCCGCCGCGCGGAGTTTCCGCCGGAAATTCGAGGCACTTACGGGCTTATCTTGAATAATGGCGTCAATCAAAGTCGTAGGCAAAACACACACGGTGTTGCGCGTATCCGATGCATTATACAATTACGGTTATTAATTGCATGCAGATTGCTATTTATTTAAGTACGTCGCGCACGTCGTTACGCTCTTAGCGCGGTGCTCCGTCTTTGTAACGCGATCCTGGGTCACGTAGTTTGATGGTAATGCGTCGCGACGCCTCATATATACGTACATAACGCGTCACATGCCGTTATGACTTTTATTGCCGTGTTACATATCGCTCGTGTCTACCTCGGTCCGCGCTGCGTGTACCCTCGCGACAAGCTCGATATGTTTCCAACGCGTGATAAACCATAAAGAATCTCGCTTTCACTGAACAGACAGTGTAACATCGGCGCGAACCGCGCATCAGGTTATTCCGCGTCCGCCCCGACCTCGATGTATCTCCGATTGAAATAGTATGAACGGAAAGGAAAAAGAAAAGATAGAAAATACCCCGTGCTTAACAGTGCTTTGGGATCTTTCCAATTTGTGCACTGACAAGATTTGGTTATAATAATCCAAGCTTCGTTAATGTTACCTAGATCTATGGTGAAATAGTTTCAACTAAACGCATAGGTTTATGATGATATAAATTGGTTGAAGTTGAAACATTGCGGAATTCAGTTGGCTCAACTAAATGCAAAATTTACTCTTTCAAAATGTTTATAATTATTACCGGACGTTTTGCTATTATTAATAAATTCAGTAATAATGGCCAAAATTTTTTCAAAAAATGTATTACTACCCTAGTAGCACGGTGCATTGGCTAAACATTGGCTAAATGTTGGTCCAAAGTTGGTTATATTAGAAATGCGTGGCCGATATTGTCCAACGTAAAGCCAATATTGGCCAGAAAATAAATGTAAATATTGCACGACAATAATTATATAATATTAGATTTATATTGGAAGTGCATTGGCCAATATGTAACAATGTAACAACACTATTGGTCTAATATTGATGCCTAATATTAGACCAATATTAAAGAGACATATTGGCTAAATAAGAAAAGGCGTCCATCTTACGATATTGGACCAATATTGGGAATACTAGATTTACATTATTTCCCAATATTGCGTTAATATACAGGGTATCTCAGGAGGAAAGATCTTCTTTTACCCGCAGACGTTTATGAGATTGGATGAAGGGTGAAGTGTACAGAAAAAAGTACATACACGAGACCTTCAAGTAGCTCTAACAGTGGGGAATGGGACATATGTTCATATGAACATTTTTGCTTAAAATGACCGATACTATCACTTCCCAGGATATTGATCTTTCTCCCTGGAACACCCTGTATTGTGCTACTAGTGTATGTGCATCTGACAAATTTACCTAGAATTTTTTCAGAGTAGCGATGTAATAATGTAATAATACAACGTTTCATCTCGTCTATCGCTTCTCTTCTAACATCCCGGTGACAGATTCGTACTTTATGCAAAATGAATGGTGTTCCGTTTGGCGAACGTGCGGCGGAATGGTCTACATTTATAAAGGATCACCCTGGGCGGCTCTCGGGGACTCTTGCAGGTGCGCCGATTCCGCCGCAACTTGAAGCTTCGCACCGCCCGTAGAATTCCGCTCTAATTGGAGAGAGAGAATATTTGCCCCGCTTACACTTCGCTTGTAATTCAAAACATCGCTAATCCATTAATCCTGTTTCCAGCGCGCCGTGTACGCGCCGCTGTACGGAAGTCATACCGGTAAACTATGCGCTCCGCCGGATATATATATTAAGCGCAAGGTAATTCTGGTACCAGTGTCTCGTGGATTACGAGGAACTCGTTGCGATACGTCGGTATTAAGATGCGCGCCGTGCAATCGGAATACGTTTGCGCGTTGAACGCGCGATTATTAAAATTTTCGTCGGCCATTAAGGGGATGCTGGAGCGATTCTGCACTTTTTACACCTTTGGCTCTGTCAATTCGTGAAAACGTTTGTGTAATGTACAAATTATGTGGCTTTTGTGTACAGTGTCCCACTAATCGGACCAATTGTAAGTCAGAGAACAACGTATCATTGAAATTAAGCTTAGAAACCTGAAAAGCTGAAAAGAGAGGCAAGAGTCCCGTCATGTCTTGTTAGGTAAAATGAAGTAGTGCATCGGTGTGTCACCGATTTTTACCCAAAACAAGACATGGCGGGACTGTTGCCTCACTTCTCAGCTCGAAGGTAGCAGTCTAGTGGCACACAGAAGTCTGTGGCGTTAACGCGATGCCGTCGAAAACAATTTCCTTTGAAATTTTACAACAAGCGGGACGGATCTGTCCGATACCAGGCGGCTTGTCGATTCACACGCCGCTAATTTCCCGGCAAGATTTATGCCGTCCCGTGCACCCGCGATTTAACTTTCATTGCTTGTCAGACCAGTCATTCATTTTCCTCGACGTCGAGAAAGTTAGAATCGCAATGGCGCGATAGATAGCGGGGTCCAAAAGGTCGTAGCGCGCACACGTCGTCTCTCGGTTGTCCCGGAAGTCGGAATGATACACGTGTCGCGGTTATGATTTGCGGCCGCCGCGCCGCATTTTAAGCGCGAAACGAAATCTTAGCTTGGCATAATGCATTATGTAAATACGCCGGCGCACGGCGCCGTCGACGTGCTTCATTTCCATGCGAAATCGGCCGGCGTATCCGCACTCCGATTCCTTCGATACAATTAATCGGACGCCGAGAGACGTTGAGCCAGCGGTCTCCCGCCGTAAAGCAGTTTTGCCGCGCCGCGAGCGGAGCGCTATCGAGTATCGCTTTATCCGCGCCGAACGCCATAAAGGGGCTCCTGTTTCGCATTAGCCGGCCGCACGACCTCGATAGTTCCGAGTCGGTGTAAAAGCTCATAAAGAATCTCGCTTCCGAGGCGCGGGCGGCGCATAATATCGGCGCGCGCCGTATATCAGGGCGAGCCCCGCAACCACCCCGCTGCGCCGAGGAAACGACGGAGGCGTATCTACTTCTCTCTGTGTTTGCGGTAGACCTACAGTACCGGCCAAAATTGTATCGCCTTTCCATGACTTTTTCAGCGCAACTAGTTTTGTATTTTGTACAATTTCATTGCAAGATGCATCTGTTATCAGGTGTCTACTGTAAAATGTTGAGCACATTCGATACACTTTAACGATACTCTCCAAGGACCTGTGCCCGCGATGCTAGAACTTGGTCCAAGTTCTTGTTTCGAGAAGTGTGTAGCCAATCAACTTGCAGCTTTTATGGAATAGCCGCAGGTCGATTGGCTACACATTTCTCGAAACTACAACTTGGACCAAGTTCCAGCATCCTTGGACACAGGCCTTAACAGTCAACCAGTGGATTATCACTGAAAACCGTCAATAGCCACTGATTTGCAAATTTATTTAAACCATCTACTTTTTATTTACTTCTACCAGAACATTTGCGAGATTTGAAGAAATAGATAGGAATTCTCGTAGACATTCCAGTCTCAATCAAATGAAATTTGAAAAAGACAAGAGATTTTATTAAGACGAGGAAAGAGGCTACAACGGTTCGACCAAATTCCTTATTCTTTAATTAAAATCTACCAGTTTCGCCGAGTATCCATTTTTACGTTGATTAATTGTTCACTGGCGACAATAGGTCGTTATTCTTGCACTGAAAAAAATTTCTGGTTGAATATGGACGAATCAGATAATTCCTTTAGGATTTACCAGAATTCCTGTAATCCTACAGAAATTCTGGTAAATCCTAAAGGAATTCTGGTAAATCCTAAAGGAATTATCTGATTCGTCCATATTCAACCAGAAATTTTTTTCAGTGTGATACACTCGGAGAACCCAAGGGTGATGTAATTTTGGCCGGTACTGTATATACTCCCGACCTGGTAAGGGACCATCCAGGACCACATAAGCTCGCCGTGCACTTTGACGCGTGCACCGCTACAAATCCGAGGCTATAGGTGCGCCGAGGCGAGACGCCCCGCAAACACGGCCGACATCGCGCCGCCGTATCGACATCGCGCGGAATATTTCAACGCGGTCGCCTACTTTCGCGAGAGCACCGCTCTCGCCTCTCTCGCGTTGCACGCGAGATTTATCGTTTCGGTGGCTCGTGTCGACGGGCTGATTCATTCCGCGCTCGCCGGCCTCGCGAGACCGTAAACGCGAGTTTGGAAAATTTGTGAAATGAACCGAGGTCAGTTTGACGCCGCTCCATGATTTAATGGTTCGATGACGGGGGGTATTTAAAAGTTCTGTAATCCGAGAGACTGTTTTTCCCGCGAAAGCCGATTTCTTCGGGAGTGTCGGTCGTTAAATATTTTACAATTTGTCGCGTATATTTTTTTTAATAAAAGAGAATAATTAATTTCTCTAACTGCACTCGTGAAGATTTATATCTTTTGCGAGAAGCGCAGAAACCTACGAATTATGGCTAATCTTTAACGCGGAAGTATACAGCTGTGTTTAATCGAGAATCTCCGACACGAAGCACTACCGAGTTTCCTTCTTTTAGTTAGGGTAGCAACGATCGCGCGAGATTATTCGGTAAGGACGCTCGACGTTTCTGATGCGCGCGAGAGTGCTTCCTGCTGTGTTTGAAGAACCGCTGCTATCTCGAGATCAGACTTCCGTGAAGGAAAGGGGTCTTGGCCGATCTACCCGTTCGGGCGTGTTTTTTTTCTGCTCGTCTACTCATCAATCGGCTTAAAGATGACAGACAGACGTCTGAGCCGACGATAATTGCAAGCCGTTTAATGGAAGTCGAAAAAATGGTTAAGCCCGCATTTTCTTCCGATTCGTAAACGTACAGTGTCGAAATCACTCAATAGTTTCAATTCGCGGGTAGATTTTCCCCTGTAATTTGTACATTTATTAATATTCAGTCATGCTGCGGTCTTCGAATTGGGATCTGACATCCGTAGTCGTGACATTTGGTGACGAGAAATAAAAGCAGTAGAAGCCCATTGCATAATAGAGCATTATAGTCAGGTGCTATTTCATTAATTAATTTTTATTATGGATTGCGAGATATTTTCTCCGCGTTCTAAAAGTTAATGCATAAAAACTTTGGGATCGATTTTTGATACATACAAAGTAATCAGAACTCTGCGATAAATTGTTTTTAAAAACCCAACAGTTACTTGGAAGACTTTCATAAAGTACAAGAAAATAAATTAAAATACGGACTTTCAATGTTTGCATAAAGATGCGTTTTCTTTCATTTTACATTGTGACTCACGCACTCTTGTTTCGATTTTACTGTAATGACCTTATTACTCTGTCACGTACATTTGTTAAGATCGTGCTCGAAAAGGACCGAAAGCAATGGTCGAAACGTTGCACGTCGCACTATTAATGTGTGCTAAACTTGGGCCAGTTAAGGTCGACGTAAACTTATTTATTATTAATATTTACTTTTGAATAGGATGAGATAAGTAGATAGAGATTGAATATTCCGTGTAACGACGCAGCTGCTAAGTGATCTCATTTTTGTTGACGATATTTCCACCGTTGTAAAGTTCAGTTTGTCTCAACCCTCGGCGGAAAGCAGTTTTACGACTAGTCGTTTCTCGAGATCTCGCGATAATACGTTCATCCTTCGAGGGTTTCGCAGAGCGCCTGAGGATCCGCTCGGAAGACGTTCGGCGATCTAGGATTCGTATCTTATCGACAAGAGAGACCTTTGTCTTCGGCGCAAACAGGACTTGTCGATAAAACATGTTTCTCCGGTCCAAGTTTTCCTCCGTTCTCGCACAAGCGGCAATTTAATTGCGCTTAATTGCAACTCCGACGAAACAAATAATACTCTAATAGCATCCGGGCTTGTCCCCGATACCGATTACGCGACAAAGCAAGCGAGTCCGCGTTAAACCCTGGCAGCGCCGTTGGCGCATTCATAGGAAAAATGGTGCGCGAGATTAAAGCCGAATTAACGGTAAACGTCATAAAATTATCACCAAGTAGCGGCAACGCAAAACGCGCATTGTTAATGCAATTATACGCTCTCGCGTGGCCCACGATTGGCTCTGGGCGATTTAATATTTTCCGATGAATTCGCGGGATTTTAAGCCGGCGATTTTCCACCAGTATTGCTCAACGTAACGTTGACCGCCGTTAATGTTGCGTCCCCTCGTCGCCGCGGTATCCCAGTCTCGCTTCAAGTCGAAATGCATTTTTAATGAGGCTGCAATATATTCCGTTGTGCGGTCTACGGATCCGTCTCGAATTTTGCTTATGCCACATCAAAGCCGACGTCGCGTCGTCGACTACGTACGCGTCTCTGCTAAATTTGCGCTTAAGCTCGCGCGGAGAGTTCCACAATGTATTATCCGGTATTATATAACTCCACCTTCCTCTTTCTCTCTCCCTCTCTCTCTCTCTCTCTCTCTCTCTGCAGGGAAGACTGATCTTTTATCAGGATGCACCGCTTCATACCACCGTTTTCCTTTGACGATGGCTGTTTTATAAAAGCAACAGAAACTTTTGAGACGTAAAATTCTCCTATCAGTTCCGCTAAGCTCGAGCCGCACCCGCAACTCATAAGCTTAAGCTTCTAATCTCACGCGAGTTCGAAAGTATACAAAATGGTTTAAAGTGCAGCATCGCGCGCCACCATCTTTTAAAGGCTCTACCGCAGCACGTAGCTTCTGCGCGATCTCGTGGAAGCGTCGAAGGCGCGTGTCTATCCCGAGCTTACCTCGGGCACCTCAGCGAAACGAGCTCCTCTCACGAACTTGTCGATAACAGTTTGGCAACCCCTGGGCCTTTCCACCTTCGCGCCACGATCACCGGCTACCACGGGAATTCAATTATCCCGCCGTTCGAACCACCGGCCGGGCGAAGATAATACGAGACGAACGAGCCGGGAGACCGGTCATCTTTGGCGCCGGTGGGCGCGGGCTCGGGAATTCCCCGACTTCTCGCGTGTCTCGGATGAAAGGCTTAGCGCGATCCAATGGCGCACATACCCGCCGCGTAGCCCTCACGTGCCAACAATTTCCGCAAAGCTCGGTCACTTACCGCAATTGTTACAAGTCCCGAATGACCTGTAAAACACCGTAATGCCGATGTCAAGGACGTCCCTTTTTGTCAGACGTCTCCCGGAGACTACGTCAAAGCTTTGGACTTTTCCCGCGAACTAACAGTTGTGCGACAGCAATTTTCGCTCTTGCAGCCCGTGGCGTTTGAATTTTACGATTGATTCGGTTCTTTTTTCTATTGCAGCTCTGAAGACATTGAATCGTTTGAACAAGGAAGGCGAGGCGCTTGCCCTTCAAGATGACCTCACAACGCACCCCACCCTGGCCTTGATGCGGCGCATCCTTGCAGATGCACAGGTAAGACATATAAATTTTAAACGAGCCTCGCGCAACGCACGTCCGAACGACGTTTAATTTATTCAGACTTTCTGGAATCGAAAATACAGTCACACGACGCGTAATCTGATAACGCTAGACCTTTCATAAGAAGATAGAGCCCGGCATAGTTAAAACACGCTACTACAAATCGTCTCACGCGAACTCCATACCCGAGTCAAGGGCCGTCTACATTGGAAGTGAGCAGTAAGAAGTAAGAAAACCGTAACCTTTACTTATCGGTGTAAAAGCTAAAGTGCAGGCATAATTTTTTAAAATATTTCTACCGCTGGTCGAACTGCGCTCTAATTCGCCGAGAGGAAGCGTCAGAGCTGAAGTAGGAGTAAGAAATAGAACTGATTCATTTCTTCTACTCCTACTCTTACTTACGCCAGGCTTACTTCATCTATTGTAGACGATCCTTTAAATAGCCTCTACGCCAAAGTTAATTTCGAATAGATAAGAGGCTCAGGTATCAAGAGGTATGTCGAGTCGAAATTTTGACCCTATGTTGAACCTTTAATTCTATTATACAGTAGGACCTAAGACAGTAAAAGAGGTCGAACTGCAAGCACAAAATTTACTCCTACTTTAAAACTGATAGTGTCGTAAATTTCTACTTTTGCCAATTTAGCATTAAAGTAGGTCCTTTTAAGTAGGAGCTGAAGTAAATATAATGTCATCAAAGTAGGTTATTGCTGGTCTATGTAGGTGTACAGATCAGCTAAGTAGGTGTAAATTATCCTTAAAAGTGTCCAAATAGCACAAAAATTTCGACTCGAGTATATGCTTATACCGAAATTCATTGTCTGCGTATAAAGCAGAGTATTGGCAAACGTGTCGTGATCGAATCGATCTTAACTTTTCGTGAAACCGTTTCTTCGAGCGGCGCGAATAAAACTGCGCAATGAGACTTTGACGTCATTAATCGTCGCAATTAGCACAACTGAAAATCCATCTTCTTTCGCGAGAAGATTAATTTTGCCCCAGCGTCCTCTGGTCTGCGGGATTAACTTTTCACCGTCGCGAGAAGGAAAGAAACGATTTCTATAACCGCAGAAAACTGTGTGCATTTGTTCGAGCTGGAAACCGACCAAAAATGTTTCCTCATTGTCGTCGGGTGAGCAGCCCTCTCGAGGCGAGAGGCGCGCGTCGATTTTCAAGAAAGCGGGGAACCGAGAATTCGATGGGGTTAATTGTCAGGCCGACAGAGGGTCGCCCTATTGATAGTGGATTCCTTTGTTCACCGCCAACCATTGTTACCTATGCACGCGCGACCCCCGGCTGCGATTTGCCGACATTTCCCCACGGCTCCTGCCCGATGTTTATTATCAAAGAGAGAGATGGTGGATGTTGTCGGGGAGAGTTGCGTTCGTGACCGTTGGAGGGAAAAAAAATGGGGGACCGGTGGTAACTCTCGCGCGACGGGCTTATCGGTGCAAGCAAGGTAACAAAATGAGGGCTGGTGTGGAAAAAGTGTCCTTCGCGTGATTCGGGTGTTTCGTATGGCTCGTGTCAGATATGAGACTGTTTCGTGTAACAACATGTTTCGTATCTCGTTACGATCGATACGCCTACTCGTGAAATTCTTGCGAGAGGTTCTCAGGTATCTAAAATATTCCATAGGAGCAACAATATTTCGATAAGATAATTCAATAAAGAGATCCCGAGGGGCTGGCAATTCTTTAAATTTAATTGCGGTAATTTTGGGCCGATAATTAACTTGCGTCGATAGCCTGTGCTTGTGCAGCTAATAATTAAACGAAAACCACCCCCGGCGATTTACGCTTCTCCAGATAGTTGTAACGAGGGAGAATTAAGTCGAAAATGGCTACTGTTCCCCGTCTAAAATTGGAAGGTCAAAGTCGCGCGTCAGAAACACGTAAATTAATTTGCTAAAATGGGGGGGATGTATCTATGGATACTCGCAGGTTTAAAAGACGGATGTAAAGGGCAAAACCCCTTTTGTAGTGGCTTCGCCGACGGGGTGAGCGTCGACGAGTTACTGTTCCGCTACTTTAGACATCTTTGTAATGAAACGCGTAAATTTGTGTGAGTGAATCCAATGGTACATAAGAACAGACCTGTGAAAATTGAAGACTCGGGGATAAAGGAAACGTTGAAATAAGCTCAAAAATTTAGTTTCTTTTTTTATCGGGAAATGTGCCCAAATGTTATTTATGCTCTAATAGCGGTTGTTAAAGCCAATATTGTGAAAGTCATACGTTCAAATTGAACTGATTCACGGATTAATTAATGTAAAGCGTACACGCGAAAATTCTGTATCTTGCGTTAATTAAATTTGTGAATGCCCCTGCATAAAACAAACGGCATCCATCGTTAATATCTCGCTTGTTTCGCAACAATCGCGAAGTGTCGCTTTTAATGTAAAAATCCGCGCTCTACGGAAACGTATTACTCGATATTGATCACCGCTGCACGCGCGGATAAAAGGCGAACGGGAATGGCCGAACTTTCATTTTAGCGTGTCATTCATTTGGAGCGTAACGCGCGTCGAAAGCACTCGCTGTTAAAAGAGCCGTCAGACTTGTTAATGTTTGATATCATGATTTTCGCTGGGCGGATAGATTAATGTTGGCGCACGGCTAATTTTCGTGGCGTATTGCCGGCGATAAATTGCAAAACGTTTTATGCAACATAATGCAAGGGATGGTATTACACGAGCGCGGGATCGTGCGTAACCCATTGGGGCTTCAATTGTTACCGTATTATTGAATTCTTGTTACTTTGTGGTACGCGCGTGACGGCCTGTACATTAATTCGACATCACCTGAACGCTCTGGGGGAAAGAAAAGACAGTTAGCAGCCCATTTTGGGGCCCACAATTAGCAATCCAAGTATTTGCATTAACTCTACTCTGGGAAAAATTTTGGCCGTTTCTTTTTGTAGTTAAGCAACTTAACATTTCGGTTAGTGCCTCTTAAGTGAAAATTGTCTTTGCGTTGCTGAATATCGACAGAACTAGTTGAGAGAATTGATTAGTGCTACTTCAAAATCCTGGATATAGATAGAATAGCTAATTGCGATTTTTAGTTACGCGGGGCAAAATTCGCAAAGGATTAGAGTTGCGAACAATCCAGATAATTCGATTACTAATTGTGGGCCCCAAAATGGGTTGCTAACTGTCTTTCTTTTCCCCCGAGGGCGCGCGTGGAGATATTTCGTTAGGCTAGCGCGTTTCAGAGTCGCGCTGTGCAACGTTTTTTCTCGACGCTCATTATCCCCTCAAACGGAACCGGTAATGATGTGTTCCCGGCGGGGGAAGAACTCGCGGAAGCGACGCGGATTCGGATTATAGCTAAATCACACGCGACACGTCGCGCATAAACACGTTATCCGACGAATGGCGTTCGGACGTGGCGGATGTGGCAATTTCGAGATTAATGCAATCAAACTGATGGCCCGCAGTTTGCTGACAATGGACACGCGCACGGCGAAAATTAAAGTTGGGCCGCGCGCTTGCGTTCCGCAATTATAACGCCGTAAAAAAAAAACCCCCTCGGCGGCAACTTGTGTTCGGCGAGGTGATGTGATGCGAGGTGGGAACATTATCATGTCACGAATTAGCGGGGGAGATTTTCCTGTAATACGACCGAATATCACGTATCAATTATCTTACGTTAATTGCGGATCGTATAACGCTCGGATATACAATGTAAATATGTAATTATCGACAATTTAGGCGTACGATGTAAAATTATTTAAATGCACAATATTGGAAAACAAATACGAAACCGTACACGGGGTGAGTGTACGCATTGAGGAATGATCTCCTTGCAGGGTGTGAGTCTCGTTTATGCGGTACACAATTTCTTGTCTCTCGGTAATATTGCTATTGAGAAAATGCAGATTTCACCCCCAATTGTCGTCGCCATTGAACGATCAAGCGTCAACGATCGCGTCTACCTACTTGACGCATTGAAAAGTGTATAAAGTGCACGGTCGTTCTTTGCCGCTTGAGCGCAAACAGCCCTTAAAGCGCGCGTTACGGGCGCTTTTGAGCCAGGCATCGGGAAAAGTCGCGCTTTCAATCGCGCCCCCGTTTTCCAAAAGATGATCAATCGGCCGCCGAGCAATATCCGGCGGAAGGAGAATTTCCACTCGACGTTCCAAGGTGAAATCGCCCCATTATACCCGCGTTTGAATTTCGATCTCCCGCGCGTATCTAAGCGACAGGAACGGGAACCCTGGAGGAGGAACTGGTACCCGCGGAGGGCGGTACCCGAGGGGGGAAAAGAGGAGGCTGCGTCGTGCGCTCCGGTCGGGTCGCAGGACACATAGAAAAGGAGAAACGTGACGGGGCATATGAATCGGGCATAATGTCGCCTTAGCGTACACCGCGGAACGGATACGCGCCGACAGAGCCGGTAACAAAGTTTCCCAGCTGCTGGGATGCGATCGATACGAGCGGTATCACAAAGTTCAAATGCGGCTTCGCCTCGCTACGGCGAGAAACGTTGCCGGGAATCTTGCGAGGGTGCTGGTAAACAGAAGTTTATGAAAGCGATACGGCTTCTCGCGCCAGCGCGCGACTGCAATTTTCTTCTCTTCTTTTTTCATTTTCAACGTGAGACGTATAGGGCTCTCGCGCGCAGTGGCGTTCGATTACTTAAAGTTTAAACGATACCGGACGACACGCGTCGAGATATCGACGCTTCGGGAGTCTTGCGGGAGGGTAGATCGTCGAAGTTGCGGCCGATGTCTGATGACAGATGCGGCATGGAAAATAGATAGGGGTGTACTATTCCTGGGGATACTCTAAGCGGAGTTTGGCCAAAGTAGCTCCTCTTTCTAATTGCTCTGGGAAAAAAAAATAC